ACGGCACATAACAACAACAACAACAACAATATGACTCTATATAGTCTGTGAGCTATCACATTGGATTTTTGACCCAAGAAAGTAGTAAGAACATTCTTCTTCTAAGTCATAGAGCAGTCTTCTGTCAATTTGCTGTGCTGAGACACTATAGGTTTGCTATGATGCTGAATCTTGTGCCATTTGGGTCTCAAATGCCATTATGACTGGCCATAGTGGACAGTGTTTGGTGGAGCTCCAGGTGTAAAGCAGGTTTGGTAGCAGGTGTAGCATCCTCTTCCTAAACCACACGCCTCTTGAAACTCTATGAACTTGGAGAAATGATAGTTATAGAAAAGCCTCAGGTCTTTTGTTCATTGAGTCACTGTGAGTCTTGCACGACTCAATGGCAATCAACAACAACAAAAACAAGTATTAATATTGGTACTGAGTTTAGTAGAAAGAGTTCTGTGTTATTGTTGTTGTTGATGGGTACAGTTCCCCTATATGGAGTTGGTGGAGGTTGTCTCCATGTGATCCTAGCTCTTTTTTACAACATCTGTCTTGGAACAAGTACAACCAGAATACACCTTAAAAGGGAGGAAGACAATAGTTCATCTTCAATATTTTGGAAATATATTTATGAGGAACATGTCCCTGGAGAAGTACATCATGCTTGCTAGAGAGTTAGTAAAAAAGAGAGATGATTGACACAGTGGCTACAACAGTGAGCTCAAACATATTAACTCAGACTAGTGAGGATGGCCCACAAGCTGGCAGTGTTTTGTTCTGTTGTTTTTGAGGTTCTATGAATTGGAAAGGACTCCGTAGCACGTAAGAACAGCCAAATTTGCAAGCAAGATATAACATATTCATTATGTTTTCTGTTTGTGTTGTTGTTGTTGTTGAATATCATTCTTGTCAAATACTATTGCAGTTGTTGTGGTTGTTGTTAGTTGCTCTTGAGTCCTGTAAGAGTCATAGCAACCGTATGCACAACAGACCTGAATGTTGTCCTATCTTGTGCCTTCCTTATCATCTAGGGTACATGTTAGTCCATTGCTGCAGTTATTGTGAGTTCATCTCTCCTTCACTGACCCTCCATCTCCCAAGCTTGATGTCCTTTTCTAAGGAGTACCCTCACCCAGATATATACCAAAAGTATGAGTAGCAAAGCTTCACAGTCTTTGTATCCAAGGAGCACTGTAGCTGTAGTTTCTCCAAGACATACCTGTTTGTTCTTTTAGCAGTCCATGGAATACTTAGTCCTCTTTTCCAACACTATAACTCAAAGGCATGAGTTCTTCTTCTGTTATTACCTTTGGCTCTTGTTCGTATGGTATTTCCATGAAATGTTCCAGTATTAAGCTAATTATTTTTGTGAAATTACTCTGTTTATTCCTTCCATTTTATTCTGATGCTCCTGAATCATTCAATATTTTGCCCATAGCATCTCTCAGTGTTGCAACAATTTATTTTTTTTTTTCAGTTCTTTTAGCTTGAGAAATACCACGTGAGTTCTTCCCTTTTTATTCTATGACTCCAGCTCTTTGTACTTTCATTTTAATATTTGGCTTGATCTTCTCAAGCTGCCAGTTGAAATCTTTTCTTCAGCTCTTTCACTTCAGCATCTCTCTTGTTTTGTTGACCTTCTAACGGAATTTTCATAGTCTCTCCGACATTCATTTAGCTTTGGGTTGTTTTGATTTTTGGTGTTTTGTTTGTTTGTTTGTTTTTTTCTCCTCTGTCTTTGTAATGACATTTTACTCTCTTTGTAGATGATATCCTTGATGAGTTCCCACAGTTCCTCTGGTCTACGATTGATGGTGTTCAATATTTTAACCTGGTCTCCAAATGATTCTTAAATTCAATTGTGATACTGTAGTAGGTGCTGATAATTTAGTTCTTGTAGCTAGGAATCTTACAGAGTAGCAAGGAAATTGGGTCACCAAAAAAATTATGACAATATGAGAAGTGACACAAAATAAATGTTACAGAGTTTGAAAGAAATTTCATGTGTGGTGGCAAAGGTAACTTTCCAAAACTAATGATATTTTATCTCAACTTTGAATTAAGATCAAGAGCTCTCAGTTAAAGTTATTTGAGAACCATCATATGAAGACCCAGAGCTTATAAGAAATATAGACTAGGTTAATGTTGGGGAAATAGTGGGAAATGAAACTAGAAAAATAGGCAAATCAGATGGGGAAGGTTCTTTTAGGCCTAACTGATGAGACTGATTTTCTTTTTTTTTCTTAAGTCAGTAAGAATCACTGAATAATTTTAAGCATGGTGTGATATGGTGACAATTTCAGGAAAGTAATCATGTTTCCTTTTATTGAAAATTGAATAGAAGAAGTGCTGATGCTATCCCAAGAGACCAGGAAATTTAATAGCTTGTTTGCATGAGAAACTGAACTGTGATTGTGGAAGTAGAGGTGAAATACAGAAAATTAATTCAGGAGATATTTAAGGTATTGAATTTGAAGAATTATGGTCAATAATACTGTTTATTGGAAGCAGGAGTGGCATCCACTTCCTAAAGAACAAGCCTATGAAAATTCTTTGAACTTGGAAAACAATTATCATTCTAGAAAGGCATTAGGTTCTTCTTCATAGAGTTGTTATGAGTCGTGCTCAACTTTATGGCAATCAACAACAACAACAATAATGTTTATTATATCCTTAAGTTTCCCAGAAAGTATATTGGGATAAATTTGATAAAAAACAATACTAATTATTTTCATTACAATAAATAATTCTCTATATATTTTATATTCTTAGACAAAAGTATCAAAAGTTAAAACATGCAACCTTAGTGTAATTTAAATAATGCTTCAGAATTTTAAATTAAATATCATAAATTGATGTTATTTTCTATTGATAATTTTAAGAAAGCAAAAAGGATATTGGATATATTTTTACCACGAAGTTTTAGTAACATATCATATGGAATGAATGGTTAGAATTGATACTGACTACAAGTAAATAAAATTTGTAAAAATTTCTAAGGTAATCAGTTATATTGACATTTTCTGTACCTACACGTGGATGAAGAGAAAAGAAAATGGTTAAATCTACAAGCACTGAATTCATTAGTTGTCTTTAATTAGCAATTTATTTTTTCCACATGAGTAGCTTTACTAGAAATGTATTGCCTTTCGTAACTGTGGAGTAACAATTAGCTAATAAGGTCTTTTAAGTATAAATTGAGATATGGAGATAACAGATGTGGTTGAGGTTAAAAATTAAGGTAACTATCCAGTAATTTACTGTAGTAACACCAACAACTTTATCAGGATGAAATAAATTGAGCAAACATGTTTGATCCTATATTGTTGCCTTTTTTTATCAGTGTAATTATGTATCTGTGTGCATGTAAATATGTTCTTTCTTTCCAGCTATGACAGTGATAGCTGGTGCCCACCTTTACCAGTACAAACATACCTGCACCAGGGTATGGAAGATGAACTGGAAGAAGACGATGATCGAGTCCCAACACCACCTGTCCGAGGCGTGGCTTCGTCACCTGCTATATCCTTTGGGCAACAGTCCACTGCAACTCTTACTCCATCCCCACGAGAAGAGATGCAACCCATGCTGCAGGCTCATCTGGATGAGTTGACAAGGGCCTATCAGTTTGACATAGCAAAGCAAACATGGTAAATAATCCTCATTAGCCTATGGGACACATACCTTCAACATATGGCTAGAGGAACTGGTCATCTAATGTAACATTTGTAAGAGATTCTCACAGAGCTATACAACTGGGGTTAGAAATAAGTTTCTGCAACTCTTTACTAATTTAAATAAGGTAATAGAGGCAAAATGTTAAATCGTTTGACCAAAGTCATCAAGCGGGTTAGCGTTAACTAGGATAAATATTTCCATCTGCTGTGACAAGAATTTACATCTGTTGGGTTTGGATAAAGTGCCTTTGGCTGCATCAGGTCTCCTCTAATTTACAGTTTAGTTTCAATTAGCTTATCCTTGAACTCACTTCCAAATCCATAACAAGAGACTCCTTTCAGATTCTTCAAAGTGCTTGTGATTAATTCTGTCTGTGGTTGTGAATATGTAAATGGAAACTTCAGCAAGTCACATATGGCTGGTGTCAGTTTTGAAAAGCAATTCTTAGGGTTGAATTAAATGAGACAGATAAAATAACATTCATAACAGGAAATGCATAAAAGAAAATATATTAAAACCAAAATTACTGTTTTCTAAAAATACATAAAATTCCATCATTTATTAATAGCAATTTACATAGGCAGCACATGAAAATAGGACAATTACACATGGGGCCAACTTTTATAATTGAATATAGTTGAGGGAATTTTTTGTTTCTCTCTTCTGAAATTGTGACATATATGTCTGACCTTTGAAATCTATATACCTCTAATTATCTTCTGTAGGGTTTAGACTTCGTTTTTGAAGTTTAAAATTATATAATTCTCTTTGCATTTTTTTTTTTTAGTTTCAGCAGAATATGAGGTAGTTCTTATTCTCAGTATAAAGAACAGTTGATTGAAAAATCAGATATACAAACAGATAGTGAAGAAGCAGGAATATCATTTAAAGCTTTTAGTTTTATTTCAAGCATAGAAGCTTTTGTTAAGAGCAGAGGTTTCAAACAATTCAACATGTATTCTTACAAGGGGGTCAAAGGCAATCTGCTGTGAAAACATTCTATACAGGCTGCTTTATAAAATGTCACTATTTAGTTGAGACCAGATGATTTAAGTATCATAAGATTTCTTTCAAGTGAACTGACGAAGCAGAAAAGTGGCTTAAAGGGTGGAGTGTAGTTTAGATGTTCTCAAATTTTTATGCATTGTGAAATCAGCTGTTATCCTTAATGCTATTTATGGCTGGTGCCCATACTCAGAGATTGATTTCTTGTGCCGAGGTTTGAATGAGTTGCAAGTGAAGTTAAAAGCATGCTGTGAAGTTGAGCATAGAGTATATTTTAAACCTAATAATTTGTTAGATATGGAAAGAGTAAACTAGACACAGATAAAAAAAGAGAGACTATAAATGCCACATGGAAATTCCCAAAGGAACCAAGGAACACCAAGGCCAGAGAAGCTAAGAGTTGTTTTGTTTTCCAAGATCTGACAGAGCCTTCCTATAGATCCAGTTCCCCAAATTTGGCTTCTAGTCTCTTAAAGTAAAAAAAATTAAGTAACACACACACAGAGCCCAATGAGGGAGTGTGTCTGCTTTGTGTCAGTCCCAGCTTGACCACAATGAGGGTTGTTGGGTTGTTGGGTTTTTTTTTGTTTTTTTTTAAGATTTTTTTAAAGAGTTTAAGACTTTGGTGGATGAGACAAAAATAACTAGCTAGAACACAAAGTCATCACATCTCCCCTCAATTGAGTCAGAGTGGAAACAGTGTATCTCATAAGGAAACAAGAATTATATGATGCAGATCCTGGGGTCAAAGTCGACCATGGACCATTATCCTTCAGTCTTCACTGCCAGACTCCCATGTTACCTATTCTCTAAGGCTCACAGTCTCCATGGGTATATTACAGGAGGAGTAAGCCCCAACACTAAACTAGGGATAAAATGATTGTTATTATTTCTTATTTTTACTGGAAAAAAAGTCAGTTTTGAACAGTTGCTTAGAACAAATATTCCTGTTTTTGTTTGGATGATTGATTCATTTAACATTTTGATGAGCATTGTTTTCTGTATTTATTACCACATTGGAGTCCCTGGGAAGTCAAATGGTTAATGTGCTCTTCTGTTAACTGAAACAGTGAAGGTTCAAGTATACCCAGAGTATTGCAAGAGAAATTTGGAGGTATACTTACAAAAACAAAACAATAAAACCAAAACCTAACCTTATAGAGGGTAATTCTGCTCTGGTATCTATGGGTTTACCATGAGTCAGAATTTACTGACAGCAACTGACTGGTTATTAGGCCTTAAAACCCAATAGAAGAATTTAAGACTCTACACTGATTATTTTTCTTATCTGTTTCTTTGATGGGGGGGGTGTATAGATATATATTTCATAGTTTCTGCTCAAGTGTAAGAAAAACTTTGAGTAATAACATTATAGAACTCAAAGACGACAAAATTAGTTACCCTGAATCTGAAAGTAGCATGCTGTTTCATTCCAGTTAAAATCACACTGAATGCTAATGAATTTTCCCCCTATTAATTCTAGGCACATTCCAAGCAATAATCAGCCTCCACAGCCCCCGGTTCCACCATTAGGGTATGTGTCCGGAGCCTTGATTTCTGATTTGGAAACAGATGTTCCAGATGATGATGCTGATGATGAAGAGGAAGCTCTAGAAATCCCCAGGCCCCTGCGAGCATTAGAACAGACGCCAGGATCCAGCATGGACAATCTCGACAGCTCTGTGACAGGTAAGGGGACAGCGTTCATAGGAATAACCGATTTATAACATTAAAATGCCTCGGACATCGAGTACTTTCTTATGTGAGATTTATTCCACTCCATCTCTTCCTGTAACATTTTAAATATGTTAATATTAAACACCAAATTCAAAAAGGATTTGGAAATGCTTTTGCTTTGCTGCAAAAATGATAAGAAAATTCATGAATTTTAAAAAGCTTTAAAGACATGAAAGAAAACTCAATTATATGCAGTGCTTTCATGAAAAGTTCACTCTACTAGGGAATCAAGTCTATTACATGAAAAACCTTGACTTTTAGAAATGATACAGTTTGTCTATCAGGAGCAACATACAAAGTGAATGCAATCTTAAAATACGTCTTGATATTTCACTTTAGAAAATCAGTCACTGATGAAAATAAGTAGAAATCTTCAGAATGAGCCTCTCTAGGGTTGCATAAGGTATTATTTTTGGAGTGGAGAAAATGTATAGTGAGATAAACCACACATTTATGCATTTCATATTGCTGAATACAATAATTGCTCCTGTGTCAGGAAATACAGTTATTTTCACTGTTTACTCCTCCGACTTCCTCTTGCCTTCTTCACCAAAATGAAAGGCTACAGTCAATACTCTTTGATGGTAATCCCAGGTCTGATGCAGAACTTATTTCCATAGATTTTAAATTTATGAAGTGTTATTGGGGAGAAAATCCAGCCCTAAAAGGCAACATCGTGGATTAGGAGAAAAGTGAATTGTTCTCTCCCCTTAGGTATCCTTCTTTACATAAAATACCTCTTACATAACAATTAAGAGACAGCTACTCCCAACTTAGAAGGCAGTGGGGACTTAATAGTAGAAGTCTGTCCTTCTAATGTAGGAGGCCAGGCTTTATTTCTGGCCAATGCCTGCTAATCTACTTCTGAAAATGAGCCAAAGGAAACCTTTTGCCTGCCTTGCAGTTGCTCATCCCATTTTGCATGGGGTTACCAATGATTGGGGATCAATTCCACAGCAGCTAACAATTACAAACTTAAGTGTACTAATATGCATTTTGAGCCTTTTTGGAAATTCTTACATATCCGCATTTACCTGCATGATGTCTTTCATCCTAGGAGGTATTTTATTGCATTCCCTCTTATTTATTTTTACTCCAAGAGCTTAACTCGTTTCACAGATTTTGTACTATGTGTTAAGAGTTCTGCAAACAGTCTTGGAAACTGGTTTATGTCAGTGAAGAAGCAGCTTCAGTATCTATTATTTTCTTATTCCTCCCTAGCTGGATTGCACGTGTGATACATGAGCCCACCTTTTCAGCATTTCTTCTTACCCATGGGCTGGTGTGCTTGCCAGGCTAATTAAGATTTAAGAACTGCAGATGCACTGCTGTGAATTGAAATCTAGATCCAAGTGAAGGTGGTAGAGCAAAGTTACTGTCTTTGAAAGCAGAGAGCTAACTTATTAGTGCACTATTATATTAAGCCCCTTTGCCTGAATCTCTACCATAATCTCCTTCTGGGTAAAATTCTGCATACTTTTGAATATCTCGCTAATTGTACTGAATTTTCTTCCATTACAAATCCAACAAAGAAATGAAAAAGATAGATTACTGCAGTCTGTATAGTTCCCCCATTAAATAGTGCAATGCCTAAGATGATGACTATATTAATACATGAGAAAAATGGCACTTTGCTTTATTACAAGCTCACCTGTTAGTAACATGTTAGGCTTCTAATGTTACTAAGATTAAAAACAACCTGTATTTCTTTTGCAACTAGTATACTGTTCATTCCAAAAGAAGTTTTTATTGCTAAGATGGCACAATTTGCTTTCCTACTTGAATTCACTGCTTAATTACTGCCATCCGTAAAAACCTCAGGGTGTTTAACTGTGTATTCTATGAGGTGTTCCTACTAAAAATAATACATCTCCTTAGAAAACAAGTTACACTATATGCTAAAGTAGTCAAATAGGAAAATTTCACCTCTCCCCTTACTCCAACAATAACTTTGTGTGGAAGAATTGATTAAATACTTAATTTTCTTTTTAGTTTAAGTAAATTTAATTCTATTAAGTAAATATCAGTATAAATATATTGCTATACAAAAACAACAACATAGTTGTTATCAGCTGCCGTTGAGTCAAGTATGACTCATAGTGACCCTATGAACAAAAGATCTGAATCCTGTTTTATAGCTCTTGTTGTTCATCTAGTGTTCATAGGGTTGTCAAAGGCCTGTTATTTAAGAAGTAGATGCCAATCTGCCAATCTGATGCTTTCAAGTCTGTCTTAAGAAATATATTTTCTCAAAAAAGGAGTTTGTGTGTGTGTGAGTGTTGTGTACATGAAGCATATGTGTCACACTGTAAGTATGCTGTGTGTATATGTATGTACCTATTGACATATGTAGGTAGATGAAGTATATATATTGTGTGTGTATATGTCTCTATTTGTCTATAAGTAGCTCTGGTGGCCCAGTGGATAAAGATAGATAGATTGATGTTATATGCCATTAAGTTGGTATCAACTCATAATTGACCCACCAGTGGACTTGTAGAGGATGTAGATCACATGGGAAGAAAATGTTCAACTCTCTCTCACAAAAGAGTTGGTCATTTCAACCTCCTGCCTTCACAGCAGCACAACTCTTTACTAGGCCATGCATGTTACCTATAGATAGGCAGAGAAATAGATGGATGAATGGATAGATACACAGATACACACATCAACACTTACATACTCCACCTATCTATAATCACTTACACACACACACACACACACACACACACACACACACAGAGTTTGAAGACTAAGGTGCACCTCATTCAGTCTGTGGTCTTTTCAGTCACTTGCTATGCATCTGAAAGATGGACAGTGAACAAAGATGACAGAAAAAATTGATGCCTTTGAGTTGTGGTGTCAGAGAACAGTGCTGCTAAAAGAACAGATAAGTCTTGGAAAGGGTTCTCCTTGGAGGCAAAGATGGCACAGCTTTGTTTCTCATACTTTGGACAACATGTTGCTAGGAGAGGCTATTTTTTGGAGTGGGGTATCATGTTTGAAAAGGTGGATGGTCAGAAAAAGAGAAGACAACTCCTCAAAAGGTGGATTGACATGGTGACTGCAGCCATGGGGCTCACATGTATAAGAGATGATGAGGATGGAACAGAATAGGACAAGGCTCAGGTCTGTTATTCATAGGGTCATCATGGGTCACAAGCACCTTGACAGCACATAACAACAACAACAATAGCCGTATGGCAAACTGACAAGATGAACTGATACAGTGGCTCCAACAATGAGCTTAGCATAGCACACAGGCTGTGAAGATGGCACAAAATAGTGTTGTACTTTGCTCTATTGTTCATACAGTCATTATGAGTCAAAGTTGCTTCCAAAGCACCTAATAACAACTAGAATTATTTCAACTTATACCTGTGTAAATTGGAGAGATAGTAGATGATAGATAGATAGATAGATAATAGATAGATAGATAGATAGATAGATAGATAGATAGATTAATAATAATAATAATGAATAGATAGTAGATGCCATATCAATTCATCTTGTCCAGGGTCTTCCTCACTTCCAAAGGCTATCCCTCCATCCTCCCAAGAATGATGTCCTTCTCCAAGGACTCTTCCCTCCTTGCAGCATGCCCAAAGTATGTAAGCTGCTAATATTTTTCTGTGATGTTAGAAGCTATGTTACCAGTATTTTAAGTACCAATAAACTCCTGTATAGTAAACAGATGCCAGCAGAGCTACCAGACTAGGAAGCAGGATTAGCCATCTACTTCTGAATTAAGAGGCCATTGAATAAGAGTAACCATGAGTCCTCCTTAGAGGCAAGGATGGTGATGTTTTGTCACACATACTTTTGGCATGTTAATAGGAGACGCCTTGGAAGGGGACATCATGCTTGGGAAAGTGGAGGATTAGCAAAAGAGAGAATGACCTTCAATGAGATAGATTGACATGTTGACTACAGCAGTGAGCTCATGGCACAGGATAGGACAGAGTTCATATCTGTTGTTCACAGGGTTTTTATGGGTAATACTCCACTTGATGGCACCCAACAACATCATATTTAAGACTAAATACTATAAGTGCCAATATGCCAGTGAATAATATTCTAAAGAGCTTATATTTTCTTTACAAAAATAAGCTTAGCTTAATTATGGTAAATTACTGGGCTACAAAGCTGATTCCATTTCCATTGACTTTTTAATTTGTAAATGTTAAGTGCCTACAAAAAGTGTTCTGATATTATCATAAATATTTATGGTTTGAGTAAAGATTCATTATTTTCACTTGATATTCCCAGATATTTTTTTTTCCATTTTCACAATGTGAAAGACCTTTTCCATTAAATGTAACTAATGGTTAGGTCCCATGCCCACAAACTCTAAAGTCAACGAGACTGATAGTGCAGTAATAATGTCAGGATGGGCAAATTGCCTGTATAGAAACTATGCAAAGTTTTATTTAACTATTTGCACTCTGACAGTTGCCACACTGGTGAATACCAAATGTTAGTAAGATTTAGAACCCATCTTTGTGGTGGGGGGAAATAGGCATACTAGCTCCAATTCTTTTTGTAACAGCTAAGCAATCTGTAGGGAAAGGTGGACAGTCTCCTCCTAGAAAGATTTACAGGCTCAGAAGCCTGGCAGAGGATCATCATAAGTTGGAATTAGACTTGAAGGCAGTAGTTCTGGGTTTAAGCAATCTGTAAAGGATTTCTGAAATTTCTCAACGATAGTTTGTAAATGGAAAAGGCCAACCAAAGAGGAAAATTACCCCTAGACCACTATCTTAGCACTACCTCTGTAATAGATAAGATTAAATTGTACATACATTACAAATATTTATTCCTACCATGACTAGTGACTGTGGAGCCAACCTCTACTTATGGAAATACTACTGTACCAGAAAAGACCACTATTTGTACCAGAAAAGTTTTAGGATTCTAAGTACCTGGGGTTTTTTGGTTTTGTTTTTTAAATA